TGCTGTAATTTTAGTGTTGAATTTTAAGACGAAATGTGTGGTTGTTTTGCAATTAATTGCACAAATCATTTGAAATAGTTATTAGGTTTAGGCCATTATTTAATATATATGTGCATTTAATGATTTTACTTTTAAAATATATTACAAACATATTTTTTGTTTAATTTAAAGCAGTGTTTCTCAACCTCTAACGAATCGTCGCCACTTTCAACGTAGTATCGCTCCCTTCAATAAAACCGTTACGTAGTATCGCCTCCTTCACTTCAAAATTCCGATGCCGAGGGCCAAGGCTATTGCCAAATTCGTATTGCATTGAATAGACTAGTGACTAGTATAATGTTATTTGTTTAGTTATTGTATGATATAACGAATAAAATATCTAATTATTCTTTATATAATGTTTTACTATATCGCCCAGAAAATTGTTTTTCGCCCCCAAAAATATAAATTGTTACTAATCGCCCCTCAACATGGAAAAACGCCCACACGGGGGCGATATCGCCCCCATTGAGAAACACTGCTTTAAAGACTATCATAAAATATAAATCCTTACATATATTTATTAAACTTGTTAATTTAAGTAATTGCAATTATTAACATTTTTTAATAAAGTAATAAAAATGAAATCATTTTTAATTAATGTGATCATAATTGAGGTGATTATTGGGATTATACTGCATTTTTATATTTAATGTTATCATCTCAACACATCTATGTTTAGCCTAAATAATCGTAAACTACTTATGTTGATATTTATAACAATGATAAATTTATAAAGCTCGTCAAAAATGTGAAATGTGTTTTTTTTTCATCAAATACAAAAATGTATTGTTTACAAGTTGGTTATTATAATCAATATCTTCGAAGAACTATAACATGCTAAAATTTATTCATAACTTTCATATCATTAATAAATTTTGAGAATAACTTTAATATCGCTATGAAAGTAATAGCTTTGTATATTTTAACAGGTGTCTATTGCCCTTTCAATATGTCACGCGCTGAGCGTTGGCCTAAAAATGGCACATAAGTCAACCTGGATTCTGGGAGTCCTAGTCGCCCTGCTAAAGAAAATTCTGACGTGTCGAATATTTGCTACTGCCTCTGACTCACCGAGAGAAGGCCAATAAAATACTATATGCCTAATAGAGAACTTGCATGAATGTCATCTCACGTGACCAAATCGTATCGCTCCGCCTCCTGCGCCATATTTGTGGCGTACTGTTCGTGACGGTGTATGTAGTTTTGCTTGTATCGGATCGTTTATCACGTGTAGAAGATGGAAAAACACGCATTTTTACCACGTTATTTAACAACTCTTACTGGTCTACACGCTGACTGGTACAAAAGTAAAATTGTAATGTGTGTCAGAGTTGATTCGTGCAAAGATTGACTTGAGTTCGTTTGTCGAGGATTAGTTTATGGTCGAAGATTGAATATGATGATATCATTCATTCACTCATTCATTTAGATTTATTAATGTAACAATGTTACATGACCTGATGTCGCAAATGCATAATCAGGTATTATAATACAGTATATTTGTTAGTTGGTTTTACAGGCATAAAATAACAGTACAGTATCGTTGTAAAATTGCAGGAATATGTTTTGATTTTCCATGACAATTCTTGATAATTAAGTACAGTACATTTATTGATTTACAAATCTAGATAGTAGGTTAACAACATGGATAATATTATGTACTAACAGCAATAGAAGTTACAAGAAGAGTATTACAGATGTTTTACATGCCGAATTATATATACAAAGTATAATTAGATCATACCGTTACAAAGTATAACAATAATGTTACAACAGCTGATAAAATAACAACAGTTTGCTGTAAAAACAATTAACAATAAAACATAAATGCTAATATGTAATAAAATCGTCATTAATTCTGACCTTAATGGAGACACACATGATCCTTTTATCTTTTCACCCCTAGTTCTTTTATCATATTTTATGAAAATTCTTAAATATTATAAATTGAAAAAAAGTTAACTTTGACGGTAGGGGTGGATTTTATTATAAAACATAAATGNACATAAATGCTAATATGTAATATTATATTAATAATTAAATATTAAATATTAAAAAAAATGAAAAATCAAACCCATGGCAAAGAAAGTGTCTAGAACAGTAATGTTCCAGTTGACAGGAAAATTTTCAAAGTTTTTGAAGAATCCTGTATGAGATTGGTACGTAAGAAAGCAAAGTAACACATATCACACTGTCACTGTGAACTTTCCATAAGTCTATGGGTCTCAGCACCACAAAAGTCCGTGAGTGAGAAGCGCTGCAAAAGTTCAAGGGTGTCTCTAAACACAACAAAATAAGTGAGTTAGTTGTACCACTCTAAAGTCTATGGGCATCCTCAACATCACAAAAGTTCGTGGGTGAGAAGAGCTGCAAAAGTTCGAGGGTGTCTCTAAACACAACAAAATAAGTGAGTTAGTTGTACCACTCTAAAGTCTATGGGCATCCTCAACATCACAAAAGTTCGTGGGTGAGAAGAGCTGCAAAAGTTCGAGGGTGTCCTTAAACACCACAAAAGTCCATAAGTGAGTTGTACCACTCGAAAGTTCATTGGATGTTCCTCAACACCACAAAAGTCCTTGAATGATTTGACATAAAAGAAAGTGAGACTAAAAGTTGCAAAGCTGCACAGGAAATTGTAGGTTAAAACGTGCCATCAACAAGCAGAGGTGATGTTTGTATGAAATAACATTTTACTAGAAATACAACAGTGAAAGAGAAGGATTTTATCAGTAAGAAAACTCAAAGGATTGAAGTAATTTGAAAATATTTTTCAATTAACTACCGAATTTTTCGTAACGCTATGTAAACTTGACGAGTTATCTCGTCAATTGGAGAAGCAAATCATGAGATTCTTTATCTGCTGTAAGCAATGTTCCCTCTAAGCTGCGCGGCTGCTCAAATTGTTGCCGCGCACGAGAATTTATGTGATGCGCAGGCGAGCATGCACATTGATTTGAATGTTTACTTTTTTCTCACTCTGTCTGCAACATGATTATTGCTACGTATATTTCGATTAAATACATTAAATCATTGACAAAAGATAATATTTTGTATAAACATATGTTTTAAAATGACACTTTTATTGACCATTGCATAGCATCATTTCTAAGTGCTGTGTTGTAATTTTGTCTTTCTAATTGTCGTATTTCTTATATTCTGTTTAAGATTTTCTTACATTGTATCTCTTCATTAGATAAACCACTCAAACTTTACGATTTCCCACAATTAAAGTTTTGTTTGTCATGTATTAGGTGACGTTATAACGGAATGGAAACGTCACAAATAAGGCGCCGAACGAAACGCACATGCGCAATCACGTACTGTACAGTACTATACATTCGGCACTTCAATGCAGTTGTCTATGTAATATATACTTATTCGAAAATGTGACAATGTATTTAATTGGTTGATCTATTAGCGTTTCCAATTGGTCTTTTGCATTGGCCGCCGCAGCTAAAATATTGCAAACGAGATCGAGGCTTAACTGTCTTCAATCTCGCCGTTAGTGACGTCACAAATTCGCCGAACGACCTTTTTCTTTTGACGAAGCAGAATTAAGAAAAGGAAACCTTCTTTCCCTTAAGTTCTTCCTCTTTAGCCTCTTAAGGTCTTTCTCAGTGAAAATGGAACAATTCGCTTAGAGGTGGGACGCAATCCAGTTACAGAGAGAAACGAATAATCGAAGCGCTCTCGGCTTCTTTATCACCTTTCAACTCCGAGTGCGGGGCTTAGTAATTCATATGAGAACAGTCTGGAATGTCGAAAAATATCTTCAAAATCATTCCAGATAGAACCAGAGGTGTAAAGAAAACATCGTAAGGCTTATTTTTGGCCTACGTTAAATCTCCAGTAGCAACCGCATCGAGTTGCCCTGTGGTCAATCTCCGTGTTACATGAGGATTTCGTTTACAAAGACTAAAATCGACTGATAGACCAAACATTAATATCTAAAATTCGACATTTTAAAAGGAAATTACAAAAAGTTTATATTTCCTATTGATAACGAAGAAACGAAAAATATAAAGATGAAACTTTAGACTGAATATCTAATTAAATTGAGCTCTCTAGACAAAACCCAATCCATTTCTAAGAACTATAAATGACTCGTTTAACTAAATTGTTCGCTTCTCTACAAATTCCAGTTTCTAATTAATTTTGCCAATATCAAATTCTATTAAATTCGACCTCTCGCGCAGTTCGTAATGAAGTTTTTGTTATAAAACAATCGAATCTCACCATCCGTTACACAAATGCGTATTATACGTATTGTATTTATCTCTGACATTTCATCTAATATATAGATCCAGAAGATATTCAAAACAATGTAACGGGAACAAAGAATATAACAAGCGTATTGAACAAAGACGAGAGATATGTAGATCACCCACCCGCCAAATACGTATCATTGGTTTTTGTGTTGCGACGGATAATAGGTTAATACTATCTTATGGCACCATTTCGGTCGACACCGCTAGCGCATTTTCCTCCATATGATAGAAAGATCTCTTTTTCGACTCCAACAGTGAATTTTCCGCTATTTTCTTACGACTTTATACGCTTTCTTCTATTGGAGAGCCGTAGTAAGAACACCATCCCCATTATTTGTTTTAATATCGTAATACTAAAAGAAATTATCACATGATTTTTGTGCACATTACATTATGAAAGCGATTTCGAAAGTTTGCGTAAATTTATAAAAAACGATAGTTAATTGATTACCGAAGCTATCGTATGATAACCCACGTTTCTTCTAGGATTCAGAGAAAGATTACATAAGTCGACAGAGAAATAACAACAGAAATAGAGAGAGGTGAGTGATGGGAAGATCCCACCCGGGAGGCGGCTTCTTGACCGGAAACCCAAAAGGAAGAAGAAGGCGGATCCGAGCCCAGACTCCGCCTTTTTCCGATACTCGGCTCCCGGTCATATCGAACGGCGACGTCCTTCTTCTCCCCCTTTCCGCCCGCTCGGCCGTCGGGCGAAGGTCCCGACATCCGCGTTCCACTTGTAATCGGGGCGAGTCTGACCTACATTCGCACTTTATAAAGTTAGTCGGTGTCCGACCGGTCTTTCGACTTTCTCTTTCCGTCGCTCTCCTCAGTCAGGCCACTCGGAAGATCGCGGATGAAGACTCTTCTCATCCTCGTGGCAGGTAAGACCACTTTCCTCCTCTTACTCCCGTTATTTATAGAAGCGCGGACATAAGAAGTTGTCGTTTCTTACTTTCAGGTATTCTCCTGCCATCTTTACGTGAATGTTTGTCGCCCGCGGATTCCTTCGTTCCCGTCTCGTCCGATCAGGTAACCTTTTTTTTTTATTTATCTAACATTTTAAACTCCCGGTGGAAAGATGGCGATCGACAATTTCCTGTTCGCCCCACAAAATACTTCCAGTATTTAATATTTCCGTTATTTTAAAAGTTAATTTTTTCTTAACGAATGTCGATCTACCCGTCTTTCGACCTCCGCCCGACCGCGGCCGCGTCCGGCATTCGGGCGCTTTACCGGCCAATTGGCCGCGCCAGACGTCGAAAGAGGGCGCGGTCGGTTTCGGGCGGGCGTTTTCTTTTTATTCGGATTTCCAAAAGAATTTACGAAAGTCAGAATAATATGGCCGGGAGGAGAGTCGCTCCGGTTTACTTTGGTGCTGCCTGGTGGTGAAATCGCGAGCCGAATATCGGACGAGGTCGAGTGTCGTTTTCTCTGGAGGAAAAAAGTAACTCGCGTTTTTCTTTCTACGAAATTGGACCTTAATCGTAGGTTTTCCTTCTCTTCGAATTAGTGAACCTCGTTTCTCTTCTGACGCAAGGAAAATGGAAAGCGAAAGCTACCATTTTCCTTACCAATTTAGTCGTTATTCCAAGACGCTCGGACTACTTTACCCCACGGTTAAGTTACGCGGAGTCTTCTTCCTTCCAAAAAATGCTTTCGTTTTGAACTTTCCACTTGCAATGCCATTCATTAATTACCTCTCGCGGAGAGGTCTATATCCATAACAAATGATTTCCGGTTTTGTTGGTCTCATTTCATTCTTACCGCAAAACTGGGTCTAGGTTTCGCTTACGCAACTCGTCGTTTCCGTTCTCTTAACCGACGTTTTCTGTTTCAGGTCAGGGTCCGTCGCCAGGCACCGACCGTCAACGTGCACAAAATACCTAAGACCAGTTTCACCTGTAACGGGAAAAAGAGCGGAGAGTACTATGCTGACCCCGAAACTCGCTGCCAGGTATACCACGTTTGCGTGCCGGGATTCAACGGAAAGTTCAGCTCCATGAGTTTCGTTTGTCCAAACGGCACCGTCTTTAACCAGGCCAATCGCGTTTGCAGCCCCTACGATCGAGTGGACTGCGCTTTGGCAGAGAGGTTCTACGAGAGTCTGCACGGAGATCCCAACCAGCATCGCAAGGACTACGATGGGCCCACCGGTCCTACGACTCCTCCCCACCCCCGACACTCTCGTCCTCATTCCGGTACCGGACACTCCGCCAGACCTCATCCTCCTCCTCCTCCTCCTCCTCCTCCTCCTACCGCCCCTCGTTCCAGACAGAGCGGTCGTCCCACCCCGCGGTCCAGGCAATCTCGGCCCGCCGCCGCTCCCGCCACCCCCGCTCCCGTCAGAACTTCCAGACCTAACGTTTCCCGAGTTCCTCCTCCCGATGTCCCCCGCGGTGGATTCACCTCCACTTCCACCTCTTCTTACGAATACGATTACGAATACGAATACGAAGACGAACCGGAAAACAACAGAAACAAGAGAGAGGCAGAGACGTTCCCGACCCTTCCCCGTCGTTTCTTCCCGGCATCTCCGGTTTCTTCCGACTTTGCCTGCGATGATAAGGTGGCGGGAGGGACCTACGCCGATCCGGGATCAGAATGTCGGACTTTCCATCTGTGCGTGCCGGTGGACAAAGGAAAGCTACGGGATTATCTATTCTCTTGCGGCCAAGGAAGCGCCTTTGATCAGCGATCTGGCGAATGTCGTCCGCCCGACTCGTTCGACTGCTCGCGCTCCTCCTCCTTCTACAAAATAGACAAGACGGCTGCTTTCTCGGCCGGAAAAAAAGTGGGTCGACCCCGAAATAAAACTTAGACACCAACTTCGTCTTCGCGCGTGACGCGTCGCCAAACGGAAAGCGCCGACGCCTCCCACTCCGCCGCTGTGTCAACCTCGGGGTCGACTTGCAAAATCTTTTCTCCTTTCGTCATTCGGTTATTTAAAATATTTTCCAATCTGGAAAGGAGCCGTCCGTTCTTTCTCTCGGTTAAACGGTCGAGCGCTCGAACGGTATTGTTATGCGCCCCGACCTGGTGGGACCGCCGGTGGAGGCGATTTTTAACCCTTCGACCTCTCTGGCCGTTTACCTTGAACACGTTGCCGCGCGAGAAATGTAAATACCTCAAGCAATAAATTCCGTTTTATCTCTTATTTTTGTCGTTTCTTTTTTCATTTTCTTCCGCAAATTTTATCTTTCTTCTAGAGTTTTTCGTTTTCTTGATGTTTAGACTACAAAGGCCAGCGATGAATATGAAAAAGATGATATGATTTAGTCCTTCGTTGTGTAGAGAGTTTTTCCATACGTCACCTCCGACGAAAAACGTCGGAGGTGACGTATGTAAAGCTAGAAGATACGACTACGTATGACCGATGGTACGAATCTTTCCCGAAATTAAAGAAAAATGAAAGATTTTACTTTCGGATTTAATGACATCGGAGGGAAGGAGGGGATGGCGAAATAACGAGAAAAACTACGATCCTTTGGCCTATTTCCTTTCGTAATTTTCGATCTTATTTCGTTTCGCGTAATACATGATAAGTATCGATACGTGAACTTGCGTCATCGATAACTCCATCTTGAAACTCCGCCTTTCACTCATTACATAATGATGATTCGAAATTTCCGTTAGAAGTCCAATGGCCGATTTTAGTAACGAAACTTTAAAGCAATGATGAACAACGCATCTTTTTCTGGATGAGGGTCGCAAGGAAACTTCGAAGCCTTTTAACAGGCTGCATACATTTTTTTTTACGGAGTTGCAGTCTTTAAGCCTGTAGAATACCAACATATTCGATAACTTCCCGTACAATAACAAGGTACTGTACTGAAATAATATATGTTAATAATATTCAAATAGTAATACGGGCTGTAATTTATTCTTTTAACTGGTCTAGTTTAAATATTCTTCGTCACAAATAGGTTGCATAATGACACGAGACAGAAAACAGGAAAATAAAATTACGTTGTTAAAGCGAGGGTTGCAGATTAGAACTTTACGGATCGCATCGGCCCGGGGGCCGCGGGTTGCTCAGGACTGGTTTAAAGTCTTTTCGATCCTTCCGTCGACAAGTCTGAAATGAAATATACCCAATTCTGTTTTTACACGATTTTCATTTAATACGAAAAAACGTTCACTCCTTTTTTACACGATTTGTTTTGATTTAACACGATCGACCCGAATTCTAAAAAGAATTCCTTTCGGATTACAGCTTACAGGACGCTTCCTTCGCATTATTCACCTTCATGTTGTTTTTAGCACCAGTTAGAAAAGATATTTCTGGAGAATGTCCCTAATTATATGTAGGCCCATCATTTCAGAATTTTTACATANAACGCTGACAGTATGATAAACAAATGATGAGGCTTGTAACTACAACCCAAAACTGACAAATCCAGTTAGCGCTGTTCGCCATAGCGGCATATTTTAGAACTAAAATTTACCAGGGAACTAGACTCTTGTCGAATCCACGACTAACTACCAGTATTCAATGCAGAGTTGCCAGTCTATCAATTTTTGACTAATTCTACCAAACTATCGATCCATATTCTAGTAAAATACTGTATTTCTATCAAAAATACGTTTATATATTTCCTTTTGTAATGGAAATAAATATTACGGTTTACCATTTTTGTGTGTTGCCGACTTAGCATCGTCTTCTTGCTGGAGGATTCATCAGTGTTTGACTGGATCCCAAATTGCATACTCGTTTTGCTCGCACTAATTACAAAAGTTTGAGTCATGTGCGACCAAAATCTAATGGTCTCCGAAATCGACATTGTTTATCCAGTTCTATTAAAGCTGTTACATTAGCAGGAAACACACCCATTATTCTTACAATTGTTGTCGTTTGTCGTTTTAATAAATAGGTTTATTGGAAGTGTCGCTTTCTATAATTATTCCTAGAATGATATAAATAGGCCTATATACAGTATATATATACTGATATAATGTGATTGTTTCCGTTTTTACTACCTGAAAACGGTCTACCATCGGCAGAGTGGATAAAATCACTGAACACTGGTAATTGGTTGTGTGTTCGGTATTACATGTCATTCGCGAATTCATGACATTTTAATCGTTAATCGTGAAATCCGTATATCGTATCGTGAAATCTTTGAGAGAATAATTGGACCATTCCATTTTGAAAATAATCACCAAAAACAAGAAAACACACGAATGCGAGCAAGAATGTTTGGACGGTCAACACGAATGTGTGGAATATTCGTTCCCTTTAATTCGGCACAATTTTTCTGACAAGGCGAATACCAAATATTCATCACTAGTAAACCATTCACATTCGGTATTGGCCAAATCTTTGCTCAACATTCGGAATATATTGAACAATGCATTTACGAAAGGTATAACTTCTAATACGCCACATAAATTTCCTATCATTATTGAGACTAAAACTTTGGTATCATCGAAAGTAATTCATACTAGACCCTTACTTTGTTTTGAAATCGACTCATTTGTGCTGCTAAAAATTTAATTAAAACAGAGAAGTACAGATAAAATGCAACGATTTTACTGTAAATTAACGTGGTATCGCAGACTCCGCAAATGCCTGTTATAGGCAGTGTCATGTAATCTATAGATTACAACGTCAAATATAATAAATTTACAAATGTGAAATCGCATACATGGAATTGTTCGGGTTACAGACCGACCTCTTGTCCACAATTAGTAGCGACCATCAATACGTCGCTAATTGTAGAAAGTTTACTTTCTAGAGATATGAGCAAATGATCATCTAGTATCGCTAGGGTTATCATAATCGCAAGCATCAACACGGAACATTTATTTTAAGTGCTAAATAAATAAAACATGAAAAAAGTGGGTAGTTTATTTTACTCTGATAAAAAAATCAATAAAGTTTAAGCAATCTAATAAAATGAATAGGTAGAATAATCAAAAAGATACAAGGCTACTCCTTTTCAGCCCAGTTATATTTTAAAGTCAATTTTACTTTCTTAATTATATTATTTTCTTCTTTCACAAAATTATAAAATTGGGCGCAAGTCATTTTAAAATTTAATGACAAATCAAATTGTCTCCACTAACAACCTATTTATTTCGTTCGACCATTGAGTTGACATTAGGAAAAATATTCTCTCCACATTTGCATTATGGGCTGGAATTGCAACTACGTATTCGCATAACTTTATTAGACATGACTTCTGATCATTCAATGCTTTGTATCTGCGAAAACTTCAGGCATTTCTCCTCCATACTCAATTTCACAGATGCTTCGCAGTTTTGGTTAGTATTATTTTTCTCATGCTGCTAATTTCACCACACATCTTTCTAAAACTTTGATTTTACTATCAATTTTTCAGCAATAAGGGAGAACGATAGCGGCATTACTATAGAAACAACCGCAAAAGACATCTCTGTAGCGGCTCGCCGTGCTTAAGGCTACTAAAACCTGGGCTGACTTACTCGTATGCGACATTTTTAGAGGCAAAATCAGTGTACTACGATCTGGTACCATATGTTTGCTGTAATTTTAGTGTTGAATTTTAAGACGAAATGTGTGGTTGTTTTGCAATTAATTGCACAAACCATTTGAAATAGTTATTAGGTTTAGGCCATTATTATTTAATATATATGTGCATTTAATGATTTTACTTTTAAAATATATTACAAACATATTTTTTGTTTAATTTAAAGCAGTGTTTCTCAACCTCTAACGAATCGTCGCCACTTTCAACGTAGTATCGCTCCCTTCAATAAAACCGTTACGTAGTATCGCCTCCTTCACTTCAAAATTCCGATGCCCAGGGCCAAGGCTATTGCCAAATTCGTACTGCATTGAATAGACTAGTGACTAGTATAATGTTATTTGTTTAGTTATTGTATGATATAACGAATAAAATATCTAATTATTCTTTATATAATGTTTTACTATATCGCCCAGAAAATTGTTTTTCGCCCCCAAAAATATAAATTGTTACTAATCGCCCCTCAACATGGAAAAACGCCCACACGGGGGCGATATCGCCCCCATTGAGAAACACTGATTTAAAGACTATCATAAAATATAAATCCTTACATATATTTATTAAACTTGTTAATTTAAGTAATTGCAATTATTAACATTTTTTAATAAAGTAATAAAATTTAATGAAATCATTTTTAATTAATGTGATCATAATTGAGGTGATTATTGGGATTATACTGCATTTTTATATTTAATGTTATCATCTCAACACATCTATGTTTAGCCTAAATAATCGTAAACTACTTATGTTGATATTTATAACAATGATAAATTTATAAAGCTCGTCAAAAATGTGAAATGTGTTTTTTTTTCATCAAATACAAAAATGTATTGTTTACAAGTTGGTTATTATAATCAATATCTTCGAAGAACTATAACATGCTAAAATTTATTCATAACTTTCATATCATTAATAAATTTTGAGAATAACTTTAATATCGCTATGAAAGTAATAGCTTTGTATATTTTAACAGGTGTCTATTGCCCTTTCAATATGTCACGCGCTGAGCGTTGGCCTAAAAATGGCACATAAGTCAACCTGGATTCTGGGAGTCCTAGTCGCCCTGCTAAAGAAAATTCTGACGTGTCGAATATTTGCTACTGCCTCTGACTCACCGAGAGAAGGCCAATAAAATACTATATGCCTAATAGAGAACTTGCATGAATGTCATCTCACGTGACCAAATCGTATCGCTCCGCCTCCTGCGCCATATTTGTGGCGTACTGTTCGTGACGGTGTATGTAGTTTTGCTTGTATCGGATCGTTTATCACGTGTAGAAGATGGAAAAACACGCATTTTTACCACGTTATTTAACAACTCTTACTGGTCTACACGCTGACTGGTACAAAAGTAAAATTGTAATGTGTGTCAGAGTTGATTCGTGCAAAGATTGACTTGAGTTCGTTTGTCGAGGATTAGTTTATGGTCGAAGATTGAATATGATGATATCATTCATTCACTCATTCATTTAGATTTATTAATGTAACAATATTACATGACCTGATGTCGCAAATGCATAATCAGGTATTATAATACAGTATATTTGTTAGTTGGTTTTACAGGCATAAAATAACAGTACAGTATCGTTGTAAAATTGCAGGAATATGTTTTGATTTTCCATGACAATTCTTGATAATTAAGTACAGT